TCGCGCGATAAAAAAAAAAAACACTCTAACATATTCCCGCCAATTAAAATCGGCATTCGTCCTCATGACATGCAATGAAACTTCTAGCGAAATCCGTCGTTCCTGCTCGAGAGAAATAAATGCGATCCACCGCATCAAACGGTCTCTTCTCCTCGTCTCCGCTGCTAGATCTCAGATACAGACATTGCATACCGCCTACGATTTCGGCCCCGTTTTACTAATAGCTAATGACATATTTAGCCGTCCATCGTTGCCTTGTCTAGCGGGCTTGCAGTAATTTCGGTTGTAAACGTATATCGTGAAATATGGGCTATCGTAAATAGCTTCTTAATTGATGCCGTTTCCTGTTTTTTTCTTTTAGAGAAAACGTCGATTACCAATAGCTATCATGCACACCGCGCGAAACCCGTGCGATGAATGTGTGTGTGTGCGTGTGTGTGTGTGTGTGTGTGTGTGTGGTGTGTGGTGGTGTGTGTGTGTGTGTGTGTGTGTGTGTGTGTGTGTGTGTGTGCTGTGTGGTGTGTGTGTGAGTAGTGTGTGTGTGGTGTGTGGTGTGTGTGTGTGTGTGTGTGTGTAAATGTAGTCTTGTGTGTGCTGTGTGTGTGTGTGTGTGTGTGTGTGTGTGTGTGTGTGTGATGTGTGTGTATAATGGTAGTGTGTGTGCGTGTCGTGCATGCCGCGTGCGTGGCGTGAGTGCGTTTGCAAGTGGCCCGCGGTGGCGCCTCTCTCTCTCTCTCCATCCATCTCTCTACCTTCCCTTTCTCTCCATCTCTCGCCCTCCCACTTCCTCTCCATGCTCACCCCCCCTTCTCTCCATCTCACCCTTCCGCTCTCCACGCTCCACAGAGCGGGTGCGTAACCACGTAACACTATGTAAACACGCTGTCGACCGCGGGACTCGAGGTAAATTACACAAGAACCAACTGGCCGACACACACACACGCACACGACACTGCCGACACATCAACACAGCACACACGACCACTGCCGACACATCACACACACACTACGACCAACTGCCGAACACACACACCACACACGAACAACTGCCGACACACACAGCATACACTACACACGACCACTGCCGACACACCACACACAACAGCACGACCAATGTGCCAGACACACACACACACACAACGACCACTCCGGACGCACACACACACACCACGACGGCACTGCCTGACACACAGCACACAACACACACTCCAACGACGCACTGGCCGACACATCACGACACACGACACGACGCACACTCCACTGCGACACCACACACACACACGACCACTGCCGACATCATACACACCACACGAGCCATCTGCCGACTACACACACACCACACGAACCACTGCCGGACACACACACAGCGCTCACACACGACAGCACCGCACTGCCGACACAACACACACACACACAGACGACCACATGGCCCGACACAACAGGCGCAACACACACGACCGACTGCGACACACACACACAACAACACGACCACTGCCGACACACACACACACACACACACGACCACTGCCGACACACACACACACACACACACACCACTGCCGACACACACACACACAGCACACCCAACACGGCACCGGCCCGACCACTGCCGAGACACACACACGCACACACACGACCACTGCCGACACCAAGCACACACACCGACCACTGCCACACACACACCACACACGACCAACTGCCAAGACACAGCTCTGCACACACACACACAGCAACACAGCACGAACACTGGCCGACAACACACACACGACACACGACCACTCCGTACACACACACACACACACGACCACTGGCCGGACAACACACACACACACACGACCGCACTGCCGACACACACACAGAACACACGCGTCTACGGACCACTGCCGACACAGGCACCACACAAGCATGACCAACTAGCGCGAGCACACACACATCAACGACAAACCTGCCGACACACAGCACACAACCACACAGACTCACTGGCCGACACACACACACACAGCACGAACCACTGCCGACAGTACAACACACACAGCAGACCACTGCCGACAACAAGCGACACACACGACCACTGCCTGACACCACACACACACACCACAG